AAAAGGAATTGGATACAAAAACAAATTTTATTTGTGTGTAACACGCAACATTCTATTTGGAACGAATCTGTTTGATCTTGAACGTCTGCCTCTTATACTATTTTTCAATAGGGTTGTGTCAATAAACCTTTTTTTTGGAATAGTGATTAACTATGCAAAAATATAAAGTTTTTTGTAATATATTTTTATTTATTGCAATTTACGTTTAGTAATTAACTAAATAATATTGCGTGGCACATTTTTTGGAATATATAGTAGGAATATTGTTTATTTAGTTAACTTTGAAGATGTTAATGTTATATCGTAACGTAACACAAAAGTGATAAAAGTACTGTTTTCTGTATTAAAATCTTATTTATAATAGTGTGATATAGGCAACTATTTTGAAAAAATCGACGTATCAGTTAAGCGACATCAGCCAAGTCGCTTTTTTTATTTCACAAGAATTCACCAACCCTAACATTCTCTCTTTTTGATTGAAAACAGACAAAAGGACTTTTTGCGTCCGAAAAAGGACAAAATGCCTTTCAAATAGCTCCGAACCGAAGATTTATATCTTGCTGGAGATAATTCAATATCGGCCGCTTTCATAATAATAGAGACGAGTTCGTTTTCTGGTCACGCCGGCCGTACCCCGCAAATGGAGCTTTTCGTTTTCTTTTCGAGAGTCGGCGCGTCTTAATTTATCTTTATCCGACATTGTGTTGAGACAAATTGAATTAGTATTCACAATTGAGTGAATATTTTAATTCGTATTCAAAATGGCTAACGATGGATTTTTTTTCATTACTATTCTGTTAATATCTGTTTGGTGCAATGCAGGAGAACAATTTTGTTAGCATCATACAGGAACCGCAACACGCGACTAATTATTTTATTGATATTTTCAAATGGATATCATTCCTTTTCATAATATATACCTACTCTTTATTGTACAAAAAAAAAAAAAAAATAACTGATGATTTTAGTATAACGGATTCAAATATTTTAGATTGTATAAGACCCGTTTTATACTATCTAATATAATGCAACGCGAAAGTTTCAATATTTAAAAAAAGTTCAAATATTTTATTTTATCAATAACACCGCCACCAAACCGCCATAGAGTACATAAATCTAGAATAGTAAATCTTTTAATTGTCATTACGCCCTCTGCTGACTATAGGTCTACCAGATCTTATCGAAAATCATTTCAGCGCTGCCAGCATCCAGCAACTTCCAACAACTTTTATCATTGCTAGTATTGAACAGACCAATCCTGATTTCTGAATGGAGCTGGCAGATCATCGTTGAATTGTTTTTGACTGTTGACTCAGGAATTCAGTAACGCGGTCTCACAATCTGATAGAAACTCTACGCTCTGAGCGTTCGTCCAGTGGACACCATAGGTTACTGAAGGAAAGGCCTTTTCTCTTCCTATGAAAACGACATTGCGTGTATTTTCAAAACACTAGACTGTTTCTTTGTAATAAAACCTGTTTCTTTTTCATACTTTATGATGCAACGGAGGTAGGTCCAGACACTGTCTCTGGTTCATAGATAATCTTCACGAATATGATTTTTACAAAAATAAAAGAAAGATTCGAATGTTCCTGAATTTTCGGGAGGAAAACCTTTCTGGTGCAACAGCCTTCGGTTTTTCTTGATACGTGCCCCAACCACTATATCTGATGAAACATTTTTTTTATATCTAAAATATCTACGGTTGCGGAACTAAAGCAATTTTAAATTTTTACATTGCTACCAGGAATCGTAGTAGACTACTTAAATTTAGTAATGTTGTTGATTCACGCGTTTATTTTAAAAATACTTTTGCTAGTGCCAAATCTTATATAGATCCATACCTAGCTATCATTAGTACGCGAACTCGACACATTCCATGCTTTCAAAGAGCCAGCGTCACCTTTTCTCACGGACATTTGGATTTGCAATAGGGAACTTATTTATAACGTATCGCACAGCGTTTAGTTCGGACGGTAGGTGCATCGTATTTTGTAGTTATATTTATCGTTTCTATTAATAATGATAATAATAATAATAAAAACGACCGCGCTCGATTGTACTGGGACCGGTCCGTCATTACGGACAGGACTGTTCCTGCGAACATGCCTGATATCGTACTGATGGACCGGGCGGAATCTCGGGTGTTCTTAGTGGATGTCACCGTCCCATTCGATGAAAACCTCGTGAAAGCCGAATCAGATAAAAAACTTAAATATCTGAACCTGGCGCACGAGGTTACCGATATGTGGCGAGTGTCATCCACTGAGATCATCCTAGTCGCATTGTCAACGAATGGCCTAGTCCCAACTTCTCTTCACGACCATCTGAAGAGGTTGGGACTCCGTGACGGACCAATGATTGCGAGGCTTCAGCGGGCGATCTTGCTCGATAACGCAAGGATCGTCCGCCGTTTTCTCTCTTTGTCGCCCTGACCCCCGGCCGTCTGGCCTCCTCTGCCGGGGGGAACCCTCCCCCCCCTCGAATTGTCGAGGGGTCGGGAAGAGTAAATTTTATCCTAAAAATAATAATAAACATTTATTCCAGAAAAACATTTCCTAATATTGTTAGTTTATTCTTAAATTATATTAGTATTAGGTATATGTCTCATTGAAGTAAGAAAATAAATTATGAAATCTTTAGTACTTATGCAGTAATAATTATTCCAGCACAATTTTCTTCAACAATATTATCGTAGAAATTGAAAGTTATTTTCGAAAATTTCTGCTTTTTTATATTTAATTACGAACAATGCTAAATTATTTTGCAATACCAAATTATTAATATATATTTGTTTTTAAAAAAAGGAACGTTGAAATTTATTATGGCTCTAAAACATTTCTTTTTAATGTAATTCTTTATACATTTCTTTCTTGTTAGAATTTTTCATTTTTATTGAGTTAGAACTATTTATGGTATTAATGTAAACCCATGTTTAGTATGGCCACTAGAAACCAATATAAATAGAGATATTTGATTGCCGTCAAGTCTTTTATACGTTTCCATTATATTCCAACCTGTGGTCTTTGGAAATCGTGCTTGATTTCCTTTGGGTACGTGGACCGAAAGAAGATTTATTGTTTAGTTTTTTTTTTTTTATATCTGTGGCTTTATATACTGCACTAATCTATCACTATAAAAACACAGAAATGGCGGTGATTGAATGAGTAACAGAAAAAAATATATCATCTCGATCGCCTCATTAAGATGTTTCCATTATGGGTTATGGTCAAAATTCCCTACTTATTATTATTATATCTTTAATAAACTATATTTATTGAAGTAACTAGCTTTCCGCCAGCGGCTTCGCCTGCGTTTTCCTGTATTATATATAAAAATCGTCCTTATGAATTACTCTACTTAAAAAATCCGCTTCAAAATCCGTCATCTAGTTTTAAAGATTTAAGTATACACAGGGACAGACAGAAGGAAATCGACTTTGTTTTATACTATATCTTGATAATAACACAAATTATCAAGATATATTATACTTTTCCACACCAATTGAAACTACAGAACAAGTCAACTTCAAACTACACGACAAAATTACTCGTAAGCGTGAAAAGGAACAATCCGATACCATCTCAGAGGGAGGCACAAATAAATACTCTTTATCTGAAACGAGCGAAGCCGCGGGATGTCACTTAACTGTTCCGAGATAAAAGGGGGGACTCCTTATTTTTAGTTTTCCACTTGTTCCCATTATTATTATTATCCTTGTACACATGTTTTCCCATTATTCCTTGGATTAATGCGAAAATGAGTGGAAAAATAAAATTTGAATATGAATAAAAGTTTTGCCGCTTAAGAAATCTTTTAAAAGAAATCTTTAAGATTATATTTTAAAATCTTTTGAGGTAACTTCTATCAGTATTACACTCTGATACCTATTAATATCGAACTCATTTAAGCACGAAAGCGTAGCAGATGGATAAGGTAACTTTTGCATATCTTCGTTAAAAAACAGCCGATCCAAAAATATTATTGTTCTTGAAAGCAGAACAACTATTTTATTTTACGAAATTATATTCTTCCTGTATTAATGTATTAATCACCATAGAATTTCCGTTTTAGATACCATAGATATTCATAAGTTTTTTTCCGATAAAATAATATGTTTTTCTGCTCTGAAGAATAATTTTGGTTTGGCGGGTTACTACGTGTTTGCTAAAAATTCGTGTTCGATAAAATTAATAGCGTTAGGAAATTAGAAAATAAAGAATTTATTGACATCGATAATCCTTATTTTAACAACGAAAAAAATAATAAGATCTATTGCCGGTAGATTCAAAATGTAAAATTGAAAGTATTGTCTCGAGTCATGCAAAAAAAAAAGTCAAAAATATTTTATTTCAAAACCAGATTGGGTTCTTTTAGATAACTAATGTTTGTACCAGAAACAGCCCCCTCTTCCATAGTGCTGTCATTCGTATTTATATAGTATTTCGTTTTGAGAAAAATATTTATGCATGCCAATGAGTGTGTGTGTGTGTGTGTGTGTGTGTGTGTGTGTGTGTGTGTGTATGTTTGGTTAGACCGTAGCTTAAGATAAAAATAAGTATAATAGAATAATTAGTGTTCAAGTCTATTTAATATAATTTCTATTTAATATACGGAAACTACAACTAATATCTCCAAAGAAGACAACAATTGTAAACTGTAAACAGCCTTATACTTGACGTTGAGTGTTGTCACGATATAGAACTTCAATGGAATAAAACCTTTATTATCTATTCAAGTTGGTTTTATTTGATTACAACTCTACACACTGATAGCGTCGTCAAGTTCTACTCTGTTTTATCAGAATAGCGCTGCAGGCTACTACAAAACTGCATTTTTTTTACTTCAATTTCTTAACATAAAATTTGATTATAAGATTCTTTATAACTGAAATTTGACATTTTAGGATTAATTGATGTGTTTTTAGTAAATGGAAACACTTTAATTTTATCATATCTTATAATAAAAAAATGATTATAAGATTATCATTTATAACTAACCAAACACTGGAGACCATTGAGCTTTGGGTCTATTCGTTGGATAATCCTTGGGGAACCTCTCCTCACTCCACAGCATTTTCATTTTCACTTTATAAACAGCTACATCATCAACATCACAACATTTCACCACACAAACAATACACAATAGCAAAATGGCGGTCATTCGGTGATTGACAACCATAGCGAGCGGACGTTCCGACGTCGTTTATTTTTTTATAGAAATCGATTCGCGGTTCACTTATTAAGAACGATAATGTCTGGTTTGTGTTGCGTTTGGTTTCCGCATGCGTGCAATGGCTGCGAGGAGAGCCGCTGGACTTTTCTATTTTGGATTCCCACTGCTCTTAATACAGAAATAAACTTTAGGTGACGGTACGAACTCGCGTGAACCGGTGACTTTCACATATTCTTTTTTTCTCATATAAATACTAATGACAAATAAGCGATATTTTAAATAAAACTTTGATAATTACAGCAATAAAATTGATCCGATTAAATAACAAGCACTTTTATCTGTTTTTAAAATAATAGTTTATGATCGATTCTTTTTTCAATTTAATTCAAGTTACATTAATGGTTATATTTTGTGGATGTTTTTATAATATCGAAGGCGATTCTCGAAAATTTAATAAAAGCCTATTTAATAGAACTGAAGTAAGTACTCGTTGAGAAGAAACTTGTTGAAAGTTCGGAAAGTAAATGAAACTCACTAACTTTTAATATTGGATTCCATGTAAATAAAGTCTTTCCGCATTGAGAATTTAATAAAGGGAAACAATGGCGGGAAGAACAAAAAAATTGAAAGGAACTTATTCAGAAGTAGGTATTCTTCAAGTTTTGATATTTGACTATAGCTTTCAATAAGTACTTTTTGTTTTCCCGCGACATTACCTGCGTAATTTATAGTCTATATCATCGGCGTATGATGTTATGTAGCTTACCTTTGGCGAAAGAGTTTTAAAACTGATCGAGTAGTTTTAAAGCAATGCAAACAAACAAGGTACTTTTGTTTGCATGAAGAGTTTCTATCAATGTATAAGCCGTTTATGCATGTATTTACTTTAATTGACAACACAAATAAAATGATGTATTTATAGTTATGTGAATTATATTTATGACATATGTACGATATATTTCTTATTTTCATTAAAAGATGGAGCTGTACATTTAGTATATCGCGGTGTTATGTTTTGTTAAAAAAGGTATATATAAGTAAGGTATATCTAATGAGACAGTGCCCTTGAAAAGAATGCTATTTTTTGTTTTTGGGGTACAAAACTATGGTCAGTTTAGGACGCGGTTTTATTTAGCCTCAGTACCTCCTAGGATGCAAGAACAACGGTTTGTTCAATCAACTTGTTTTTAAGTAATCTTTAAAAACACTGATCAGATCATGAATATTCTTGCATCTACGGGGAGCTACATCATACGCGGGTGATTAATACTGTAATTTACGTAAGCAAAGTCGCAGGAAAGCAGCTAGGTATTTATAATTTGGATTTGCATAATATATAATATCATCATCATTAGCCCTTTATTTCGTCCTCACTGCAGAGGGTCAGGCCTTCCTTATGGCTGGTTAAGGAGCATGGGCCATGACCCTCCACGCTGGCCCATTGCGTATTGGCGGGTTTTAACGACTACAAATGCAGCCGGGACCAACGGTTTTACGTGCCTTCCGAAGCACGGAATAGCTCGAGATAATAAGTTTTTGGTTACCCATCCCGTGATCGAGCCTTGCGAAAGTTGCTTAACGACAACGATCGCGTGACGCGGCGCTTATCCACTACGCCACAGAGCTATATATGATATATGAGACACGAATCTAGCACGAAAAATAATACGTAGAAAATAAACTTCTTTACCCTTCCCCTGTTGAATATTGAGCACTAACAATCCATGAACAATACAATTGGTATACAAATTGATCGTTCCGTATTCGAGAGGAATTTTGTATATGAGATGTCGAGAACGTGTCGCTTCATTGGCCGGCGGCTACGTTGAAAAATATAGCCGTATATTGTAAAAGTAAAAATTATTTTCGAGATTTCATTCGTCGTTTTTATAAAAAACAACGAGCGACTTCTCAGTAGGTAAATACTTTATATAATTAATTATTTTGAATAAGTAGTCTAGTATTTTTTCTCCTTTTGTTAATTCAGGAGTTTTGTCTTCTGGTTCCTAAATATTTTGCAATAATAAATAGTAGGTCTACACTTCATTTATCATTTGCATACATTCTGATTTTACCTCCATAATTTAAATACAGCATTCGAACCAGGACATGTTATAAACGCACATTGCGGTGACTGTAAATTTGTTAATAATTTTTATATTCCATAATACAAAGGAGTTTTACTTTGGTATCTGAGCAATTAATCTCAAGTTGTTTAAGTTTCGGTGCATATCGGACCGAAGATTTGTCACGTAATATCAGAGCTGACCAAATATATTGTAGTTAAACCTTGCACACTCGCACTTAATGATTTGTCAGCGGACTAACACATATTTTCAGTTGATACGTTCGACCGATCCTCTGGCAGATGTGGACCGACCCTTAGTAACTAACATGGCCCGAATTGAGAGATTTATGCCGTTCATACACGTGTTACGGAGCGAGGCGGCAGCCAGCGCGATGTTTCATCTACCCGTTACTGGATGGCATTACGTGTTATTTGAATCGCGCTAACATCGTTGAAAGGGACAGTCACTGGAGAAGAAGGGGACAGGTAGCCGTTCTAGAACTTTCAGGTAATGCCTCGAATACATCGCTGTACCGGTGGGGCTGAGGCCAACCATGAATATGCTACTCGTAAGTCTCATCCTAGAAAATTCTAGATGTAGTATCGGCCCTAAAAATACACTGTGGACGACTAGTCCCGGCATTCTTTCAGTGACTAGTGAACTGAATAGGCGAGCGATCGAAAGCGAAACAAGAAGCCATAACTAGTAAAGTTAACTAACTGGACAATCTAATAGTGTTGGGAATTGACCGTAGTGAGGGGAACAGTGGAGTTAAAGTTACGTATCACATGTATATTTAGCTATTTATGAGCTAATGCAAAGGAGAAAATGTATTTGCCCCCGCCACTTGACATTACATCATCATCCTCATTACCTGTTTAACCCGTCCCTACTGTAGGAATTTAGACTTTCCTTATGGATGGAAAATACTCGTACGAAAAGAATGGAATGCTGGCCCAATGTGGCTTCTCCAATCCATTCACTAACGACTGCAACTGCAGCCAGGACCAATAGCTTGACTTGCCTTCCGAAGCATGGAGTAGCTCGAAACAATTATTTTTAATAATAACAACAACGACACGGAGCGCTTCTCCCGCGTTACTTACTAGTGGTGGTGGCATCAGACGATAGGATACGAGTTAGTTGTGGGGTAATCAGTTCTATACACGAAACCGAATTATGCAAGGCTGGCTGGGGTAGGCTGTGCCAAGCTAAATATAAACGCTGCATTACTTTTATGTTATATATGATAGACTTATGCAAGGTCATATCGCTTCAAATACGCCATGTTTATCCATAACATATGTGGAAATATCCAAATATGAGTTTTGATTGGGAGAGTTAATTGATCAGCAATTTATTGATGAAAGTGAACATATAACAGATTTATTTATTACGTCGTTTATTTGTCCGGATTTGGTCACTTTTCGGAGGATTTTGTTTTTAATAGACTATAAAACATGATGTTAATAATCGTTAGGTTAATAAGTATTATCAATGGATATGGTATTAGCGTGAAATACTTAGTTTAAGATCTGAGGCAATTTATGTGGTGTTGTCTCTACTGATCCAGAGCATAAAGAAAACTTTTGCCACCATTACACCTATATTCAGCTACAGGTTAGTGGTTAGTAATAAATAATAAGGTTATTACGTTAGTTATTTATTTAACTATTTTGTAGTTATAGCTTCATAAAATAAAGTATATACTGGTAGCTGCTAGCGGCGATTACAATGTTTGTTCATAAGTTCATCCCAGTATTAATTCTACATCTTGCTCACAAAAGCTCTCCATGTGCCCTTTGAATAACAGTACACAACATAAATTGCTCAGGTGATATTACGAGTATCGTTATACTAGATTCGATATAATATACAGAAATTGACTCTCACATATTTTTAATGTAGAGACTTGACCTTTCTGTATTGTCTTGGATCCACGTGGTTGATCTATCTTCATTCTTTCCTAAAGCTACAGCTACTTAATTTGTCATCTAGGTAAAGCATGTGATAGTGTGAAAATCAAATACCTAATACGTTCATAAATTTAAATTTCAATAAAACTCTTTATTCATATTAAAAATATATAACGGCGGGTAGTCAGGAGGGCCTATTACGAAGCCCAAATAGATCGTCCATATCGGAGTATATCTTTAAAATAACACTGCAGGCGTGTATACCAACGTGGATTTGTTTCATTTTATCACTTTTCACACGAAAATATAACGAGATGAGCGTGATGTCGTCGGATGTCTTTACTCCTCGGCGATCGGAAACAGAATGTCCGCGAAAATGGCGGCAATTTGCTTTTTGTTAACGAATTGTCAAAGTCAGTGTCACCATTCTAATAAAATTAAAAGTATCGATGATCTCGCTCTCTCTACAATAGATTAATTAAGTAATCGAGTAACTAGCAATTGCGAAAAGGATGATGCGACATATATAATCATAATAATTCATCTTGCAATCATATTATTGAAATACCTACATTTTAAAAGTACGAATGTATCTAAAATTGAATGTGCAAATTTCTTCACATCCAATTTCACAGGGTCTCTCACATAAAGGGACACAGTTTATAGGGTTAACGACGCAACTTATAGGTCGAAAGTTCCCGCTAACTCCTGACAAGTTCGGTTAACTATCTTGTAATGTGGCACAGGACACGAGAGTAATCCCCGCTTGTAACATACTGAGTTCATCATGACACCTACTCGAATATTTCAACATAACTTATTGGACTAATATTGAAGTTTGTAATAGGAATGCTGTAACAGAATTATGACGTCAGTATGGATAATGAAAAATATTTTTTTTTTAAAGTGGAACGTCATTGCTTCTTCTTTTGGCGCTAGTGTTCTAATTTAAAATAATATGCATAAAGTTGAAGACGAAATCCTCTTTGCTCAAATTGCTAGTGTCGTTCCTACTCTTTTGAATAGTCCATTTTTATCCTACTGCGCGACGAAATGTATGTATGTTTGTTTCTATGTGGCGTTCTAGAGAAATTTGTTCTCTGTTCGCGTAGGCCGATTTTGATGATTCTTACGT